TACATTTAGCCCAAGGCCAGAGTTTTACTGCTGCTTCATCAGCATATTTCTGATGTTACTGTAAGTTAGATGCAGTTTAAGTTGTCTCCACGCAGGAGGTTTCAGCAAACGCAGTGACAAAGGTTATTAAATTACAGCCTGGAACCCAACAAAACATGAAGTTTAAAATTTAGGAGCAAAAAAACAACGTCAAAAGCATCTGGTGAACCACAACACAGGTATTATTGAACCTGTCCTGGTTTCTAAAGGCATGGTCTGATCTCTGACAGTATTTATGCAATTGTTGTTATTTATGTGTGGTTTGGCCGTGCCTGGAGGCCTTGGCTATGTTCTGGGCTGTCCCAGGCTGTGCTCTGCACACACATAATCCCTGAAAGAGCCACAGGATTTCAACAGAAACAACTTCTCCCTCTGCCTAGTTTCACTGAATTTCCTGGGAATGCTGCTCTCCCCTTGGCTGTCCTGGCACCTGCAGCTTCTCCTGGCCAGGTGAGCACCAAAAACTAGCCAAGAGCCTCAATAAGGCTTAAACTTGCTTCAACTATAGCTCTCTGACAGCACTGGGAACTCTGATCCATCTGATAACATCTTCTGTGCATCCTACATGTGTTTCAAGAAATATGAACAAAGACATAACTATGGGGGGAAAAAAAAAAGGCAGCAAAGAGTTCTGTTATTACCACTTCATTTGGATGTTCTCCAGTTCTGCCTTTCCACGGTGGTACCACCAGCATTTAGGCACATATTTAACTGACCTCATTTGATTAATTATATTGAATTCAATATTTCTTCCTGCCTAATAATGCACTTGTCCCTGTTGTGTCTGTGCTGAGTGGCCCCAGAGGGCAGAAGCTGCAGAGGTGCTCACCAAGCAGAGCTGTCAGTGTTTCACAAGGCTTCAGAATTTAGACATTTGAAACATTACAAGTGGGGTACATGCAGCAGCACAGAATCACAGAATGGTTTGGCTTGCAAGGAACACTGAAGTTCCAATCTCCTGAAATGGACAAGGACACATTCCACTACCCCAGGTTGCTCCAAGCCCCATCCAGCACTTGCCAGGTGAAACAGATCTGGATTTTCCACAGTGGGTGAATGAAACATCACAGAGAGCCAAAAGGCTCTTCCGGAAATTCACAGCCACACAATCAATACCTGTCTTTAAACAAAGCTGTCCTTGTGGCCACTGCTCTCCCCTGGCCCCATCCTGCTCCTCTGGTCAAGCAGGGCTGATATAGACACACTGGCAAGTCAATTAATTAAAGTTAGTTAAGTTAAAGTTACTTAGCTACTGTTACCTGGACAGCATCACCCAGCTAAAAGCGAAGGAGTTCCCTACCTGTGGGCACTGGGACTAACTCACCAAGTCCGCACTTTGCTTTTGAGTCACTTCCAAGCTGGGCAATCATTAACCCCAGCAGCGAAACTCTCCACTGCAGGGTTGCAACTTCCAGCTAATTTGACAGCAGAGTTAATCCCTTTACAGACACATCAGCGTGAGTAATATCTGAAAAACCATTACCAGGGGACAGTGGTGGACCTCCTACAACAGTGCCATCTCCTGCCACACAGAACAGGGGACACCAGCACACACAGAACCACGGGGGACAGTGCCAGACCTGCACACTGCCAGCTCCTGCCACACGTGCGGTGACACCAGCACACACAGGAGGTTGTCGGGCTCTCCTCCCCATCAGCCCAGGCTGTGCGGGCTCCCTTCCCTAAAACAGCCCCCCAAAGCACCAAGCTGCCCCCAAAAGCGCCCGATTCCCGTGCGGCACTCACACAGCACAGCACGGGCTGGACTCACACCATGCCCGGGCGGTGACCGCGCTGTGTCCCCTCTGTCCCCTCTCCCCGGCCGCCACCACTCACCTGCGCACGGCCTCGACCGAGCCCGCGATGGGGACGCCGCCGCCGGCGCCGCTGTCGTAGAGAACGCCGCTGACATCGAGCAGCAGCCCCCGCACGGCCCGGGCCCAGCCCCGGCCCCGCTCCGCCATGGCCGCTCCCGCCGCGGCGCTGCCGGGAAATGCAGTCCCGGCCCCGCTCCGCCCCGGGCCCGCCCCGCCGCACCGCACCGCCCGCCCGGGGCACAGCGCGCTGAACTGCCGCTGCAAACGGCACCGGGAGCGGTCACGGCCGGGCTGGATGGGGAGCGGCCTGTCCTAGCGGGGGGCATCCCCACCCATGGCAGTGCAGTGAAATGAGGTGATTTTTAAGGCCCCTTCCAACCCAAACCTGCCCTAGTGGGTGGCATCACCATCCATGGCAGTGGAGTGAAATGAGATGATTTTTAACGCCCCTTCCAACCCAAACCTGCCCTAGTGGGTGGCATCACCATCCATGGCAGTGGAGTGAAATGAGATGGTTTATAACACCCCTTCCAACCCAAACCTGTCCTAGTGGGTAGCATCCCCACTGATGGCAGTGGAGTGAAATTAAATGATTTTTAATGCCCCTTCCAACCCAAACCTGTCCTAGTGGGTGGCATCCTCACCCATACCAGTGGATTGAAATGAGATGATTTTTACCGCCCCTTCCAACCCAAACTATTCTGCGATTCATATGACAACCAAGATAAAAAACCCTACTGAGTCATTGTGTAAAGAATTTTACAATCGCAGATAAGATGCTATCAGCTGTGTTCCAGCTTTACGGATAGTATTGTTTTCTCCCAAATATCTTCTCGTTGCTAATGTCATCAATAGCATGGCACGACTCCCAGAATGTATAAGGGGCTATGGTGGAATTATAGTCCATTTTGTTTTAAGGAAAGCAGAGGAGCCTTGGCAGCATTGATTTGCATCACCGCTTCTGGAATAGCCTCTGGCTTCTCCCTAAAGATAATATCTAAACTGTGAAATTCATTAAATAGACTCAGAAATGGATCAGGTTATTTAAAACAACATTACTAATGGCACAATATCTCAGCTGTCTGCAGCGATAGTGAACATTGTCTTGGATAGTGTTATCAGTGCAGGACACCCGCTATGAATATTGATCCACAGCTTGTTACAGCCATCACTTGCCGTCAGGACAGGTCAGGGTTGAAACCCACCTAGCATCAAAGCAATTTAAAGACAGCGCTTGGGCTGAATTTTAATGCCTGAGCTGGGAAATGGACCAACTTCAGAGTGCTGGAACTAATCCATGAGTGTGTGCCCTTCCACATGCATGTATGTTTGTAGGTTGTTGTGTATATACGTGTGAAACTGATGAGATTTGAGAACGTCTTGTAGCTCACAGATTCATTTCAATGCTGCAATTTACATTCTCAGTTCCTGAAGACCCAATGACTCAAATAGAAGTATTTGTAGTCTCACATATACCAGATTTCCAGATTTTTTCCCAGCTTACCAGCTCCCACATCTCCAAAACCAAGCTTTAGCCACCTGTAGCTTGTGAGTGTGAACTCCTCAGGTCTGAGCTCCCTTCTCTTCCACATTCTTGTGGTATTCTACCCCAGAGGCCAGTGCCAAATGGGCTCTTGGATAACTAACAGGAACAGTTACTTTTAATCACATCACCCTTGCACATCATCATCTCATCTTCTTGCTTTCCTCTTATCTTAAGGCCTATGCCAAGAATTATTTGTGAGCCCAATTCTGCTGAGGCTGAGACAGCAATGAAGAGGAGAAGGAGGGCAGTGCTCTGCATCTCTCCATTGGAATAAAGCAGGTGGAGCAGCAGATTCCTACTGAGGGCTGCCTTCCCTGGCTGAAGGGTGCCTTTCCCCAACCTATCTGATGATTTGTGGCACCAACAAATGCTGAAATGCCAAGGAGAGGGAAAAGCCTCCCCCTGAACAGATACAGGTGTGCAGAAATACACTGCAAGTGTGTTTTCAATAAGCAGGACTGGCTAGGAGTGGTCCCAGGGCTGGTGCAGAGTGGGGAGGCTTGGCCTGCTGTCACCTCCCCTGCCCCAGTTATAGAGTGAACAGGCAACAAAGTGTTTTCCCCCAAGAGAAGGAGGGTTGGTTAGGGGGTTGCTCAGTGGGTAGGAGCTCCTCCAGCACAGGGAGGCCTCAGTTTCCCCTGGCTACTAACTGGGAACAGTGGGAGAGTTGCAGGAGTGGCCCAGAGTCTGAACTACACTGATCCCAAGCTGCTCCCAAACGAAAAGCTGCTCCTTTCTCCCTGAGGACCAGGCAGCAGCTTCACATCCCAAACAGCGGCTGCTGGCACAGGAAGCACTTGGAGCTTGGATCCTGCCCAGTGCAGGAGAGGGATACAGGAGCCATCCCTCCTCTCTGGGTCCCTCTGAACACGAGTCTCACCCCGCTGGACCCGCACTGACCGGGAGAGCTGCAGGTGGCTTAGCGGAGAGCGAGGGGACAGGAGGGGACAGGTGCAGCCGGTGGCTCTCGGGACCCCAGGGGACACTAGCTGCCGTCGGGCTGCCGGTGCAGCCGCATCCCTCCTCCGGTGCCAGGGGCTCCCGGCCGCCCCCTCTGCACGGGGCAGGTAACGGGAAAGCCCCGACGCCGAGAGGCTGCGCTGGAGGGAGGCGCCCGCTGCGCCCCGGCGGAGGCAGCGCGGCGGGGAGGGGGCGCGGGGGCGGCGTGCCAATGGCTGCGCTGCCCCCTCCTCTGCCCCCACCCCGCCGCCGGCCCCTCCGCCTCCCCGGCCGACCCTCCTCCCCGGCGCTCACTCCGCGCCGCCAGCGCCCAGCGTGCGGCTCCAGAGCGGCCCAGGCCGGCCCCGCGCTCCGCCGGCTCCGCGCTGGGAGCCAGCAGGTCTCCGGGCAGCGCGGAGGGTGGGGTGGGATGCCGGAATGCCCGGACCGCGGGGCCAAGGCGGCCCCCATCCATCATAAAATCTCCTTCTCCATCTTAGACATCCTGGATCCCCAGAAATTCAGCAGAAGACGCGAACCGGCTTCGGGGAGCTGGGGCAGCGCCTCCCGCTCGGGAGAGCGGGATAAAAGTTTGGGAAGAGTTGAAGTAGGAGAGGACGCTGCTGCTGCCGGCAGCGGGAGGAATAAACTAGAGGCACATGGTAGGAACGCGCTCGCGTTTCTCCGGCCGGCGCTGGCGGGGCGCGCAGGTGGAGGCGCCGGCACACGGGGACGCGCTCCCCGCGCGGGGTCCCGCAGGAGCGAGGGAAGGGGGGCTGGAGCTGCATTTTAAGTCTCGATAATGCAAAGGGAGAAGTTCTGGATATCCGCGCGCCCTGCCCGGCTCCCGGCGTGGGGAGCATCCTCTGCGGCCGGAGCAGGAGGGCGCACATCAGGGCGCGCCGCCGCCACACCCCGGCGCCGGACGGGCCGCGGCTCTTACCGAGGCACCGCACGGGGTTCTGTCCCTCAGCAAGGGCGGCCCCGGGCGCTCCGTTCCCCGAGGCGGCAGCGCTCGGATGCCCCGGCCCGCGGGACGGCCGGCTGGGTAATTGCTCAGCCCGTCCCCACCGGAGGATGCCTTAGCTCCCGGTGATCGATATCCTATTACCGACTCCCGCCTATCTCCTCCCCGCAGCTTGCAGGTGCCCACTTCAAACCTCCTTCCCCCGGCCTGATCCTAATATTGTTCGATTAAAACTTACCTTTAATAGATGACATCTATCGATCTGGCCCTCGCAAATCTGAAACTCCATTAGCGCAGGGATGGGGAGGCGGGGAGGGGATTTATTTCGCTTCAGAAGGGGACTTTAATAACTTCTTTTTTAATTGGTAAGAAATCCATATCGACGGCTCCCCCCTCCCCACCGCGGATGCGGTGGCACAGCGGGGGTCCGCACGACGGGCGGAATTTTTCTCCCCTTTATTTTGTTTTTAGCGATTGCCCTTATGCTGGGGGGAGGGAGGGATGTGGGAGCAGAAGCGCGGGGTTCGGAGGGGGAACGGCAGGAGGGTGCGCTGTCCTCTGACGATCCCCGCGGTCTCACTTAGATGCGCGCGCCCCGGCGGAGAGCGGCGCCGAGGACGCGGGGCAGGAGCGCGACGAGGAGGAGCCGAGCGGGGACGGGAGCGGCACCGCGAGCCCGCCCGGGCCGGAGGAGCCGGGATCGCCGCGCAGCGCCCGGCGGCGGCGGGCAGAGCCGGGCTGCGGGAAGCCGCGGCGGGCGCGCACCGCCTTCACCTACGAGCAGCTGGTGGCCCTGGAGAACAAGTTCCGAGCCACGCGGTACCTGTCGGTGTGCGAGCGCCTCAGCCTGGCGCTGTCCCTCAGCCTCACCGAGACGCAGGTGAAGATCTGGTTCCAGAACCGCCGCACCAAGTGGAAGAAGCAGCACCCGGGCGCCGACGGGGCGGCCCCCGCAGCATCCCCCGCGGCGGCGGCGAGCGGCGGCAGCCCCAGCCCGCCGGGCCCCGCCGCTCTGCCCTTCCAGACTTTCCCTTCCTACGCCGCCGCCAACGTGCTGGTGCCGCCGGCCGCCCCCTTCCCGCTGGGCGCCGGCCCCTTCGCCCCCTTCCTGGGCCCCGCGTACCTCGGCCCCTTCTACGCCCCGCACCTCTGAGGCGGCAGCGCGGGGCAGCCCCGGGAGCCTGGAGCGCACCTCAGCCCTTCTGACCCAGCGGGGAACACCGTCATCACTTCTGCTGCTTGCGTGGCCATTTGAAGTGTAAGAAAGTTGATTTTTCCTAGGCGCCGCGGCAGCACGCTTAACTTTGACACACAGAGAAGAAAAAAAACCCCACTGTAACCACTGGATTTTATTAGCACCTTTGAGATGTAATTATAGGTGTTGGAGATGGGAAAAGTAACCCTCTTTACACATGCCTGACACTAATTCCCTGCAGATTCTTCTCCAAGTTCATTGTTAAGAGGCTTCTCGCTGCTGTTCGGCTTGCCAGCACACGTCTGAAGCCTCGGGGGCTCGGGAGCTGTGGCACTCGTTAGCAGCGCTGCGATCCCGATGCTGATGAGGGTGCAGGCGGCCGTGTCGAATCCCAGGGATGCTCGGCAGTGAAGACGTCCCCAGGCCCTGACTGTGCTCGTGGGACTCTGCTGAGCCCTGTTTGACCCACGTTTCGTTATCGTTCCTCAAAACTGCCAGTCACGTTCTTGACACCCTACCTGGAGGAGAGCTTGGGAAGGTGCAGGAAAATGCAGCTCTGTGTCATTGGGAGACAAGAAGGAAAAATCTGCCTGGTCAGTGGGAAAGTGTTCAACTGCTGCTCATGTCCATGGCTTCTCTGCCTTCCTCTGCAGTTCAGTTCAGTCCCAATGACTTCACAGGTTTTGGATAAGAAATCTAAAGATCATTCTTTTTGCAGAGACCAGTTCTTGTAATAACACAGCATTAGTGCCAAATGAGGCAGAAATGAAAACATAAATCAGAGAAAATTATTACATTATTCATTTCTTTAAAAATGGGGCATTTGTGGTAGAAAGTAAGTAAAACACAGAATTTCCAGCATGCTGAGAGACCTACTTTCCATAACAGAGAAACACATGCTTTTTCTGGTTTTGCTTTTTGGAGCATTTGTTAGAAGGAAAATCACATTTCATCTTCATCGTTACAAGCATCAGAATGAAAAGGAATTTTAGCTGGGGGCTCATCTGTCCCTGAATGGATGGGAAGTAATTGGTTTAAAAAAATCTGTCTCATGCAGTTTTACAAATTATTACAACACAGTATTCCAGACTGTATCCTCTCTGTCTCTGACAATGCTTTAAAGTACACACTGGCTTTCCAACCAAAACACTTAGCTAATAAATCCTATCTAGCTCTTGTGTTGGTCTAAATAAAAAGGGTTTTTAAATTGTTCCCTGTTTAATTGTTTTTAATTTTACTGGGATGAGGCACTGTCTGCTTTGTGGACTATTTGCCCACCTGGTGGGGCTCTTGATGGTCCCTGTGTTGCATGTCAGTGACTGAGGGTGATACCCCATCTCCTCCGGGTGGCTGTGAGGAGATGGGTGGTGGGACAGCCCTCTCTTGCCAAAGTCACCCTCCTGACTGCCAGCTTTGCAGGGATCAAGGGTGTGAGAGCCACAAGCCTAAGCTTGGGCCAGCTGAAAGGACCTGAGGTTCCACAGAGGAGGTACCCAGTGTCTCCTCGGTGCTTTGCAGAGCTGTTAACAGAACACAAAATTCACCTCGGGTCACGGGCTTGGAAGTCATGGCTGCTGTGTGAATGCCTTTACTTGGAGGTTAATTAAAGTAACTTTTAAGCCCTAATTTAAATTAGAGTTACAAAAGACAGGGGCATTTCAGCTGCTTGGGGAGCATCCAGAGCTGCCTGCCTTTCTGACCAGGCAATCAGCAGTCCCAAATGCCTGAGCCATCAGGTGCCACCACTGCTGACAAACTGTGTGTCCACTTCTGGCCACCCATGGCAGTTAAAAGTTCAAGTCCTGCAGGGTGGGAAAGGCATTCCTGCAGGCTGGCCTAGTCCATCTTCTCTGCCTCAGGCTGGGACTAACTAGACCTAAATCCTCTTGACTATTCATGGCCTCCTACTTGTGATTGTCATCACTGTCCATGCAAAAAACAGGTCTTGATGTCACCTTGCTGTCACTCTAAGAGGTTCCCAGAGCATGACAGGGCTGGTTACCCACAGTGTCCCCACATCCCTGGTACAAGACAGGCTTGTGCCCTGCTATGGTCATATGGTTACTTCTTCTCCTTGAGAAATGTAAATCACAGCAAAAAAGCAGGGAATGTTACAAGTCAAAATAAATAGTACAAATTGTCTCTTCCTTCAAGATGTGTTTTTTTGCTGTTCATAAACCTTTCAAGGCTCTGCTTTGCCAGCAATTTTACCCTTTGCCAAAACTGTATTCACTTTAGAGGAAATATTGATTCCTATGCAAGACGCTCTAGCCTTTCTTTTTCCTTATCACTCTGTTTAGTCACTTCTAGCCCAGATTCCCAAAAGATGTTTCACAGTTATTTCCAGAGAATGTAGCAGTCATGGTCCCCACTTTGCATGACTTGCACCTCTGCATGGCACTGGAAGGGGGATGCACGTCAGTGGGAATGCAGATTTGTGGCTCTGACCCCAGGCCACCAAAGTTCTCCTGGCTGAATTCTTCCAATCCCTTTGGACAGAGCCTTCCTTCACTGCTTTGTTGAGTGGAGGTGCTTGGGTGGATGATTCTCGTTAGGGATGTCATGGCTGGGCACTTATTCCAAGCAGTCCTGGGAACAGCAATTGCAGTCAAACTTTGCCTTGCCCAGATGAGGCCATTTGCACTGGTAACACTTCTAGAAATGCCCCACTGAGTATCCATTATCTCTAACAATTCTGAATAAAGATTTGTGCAATATTTTCAGGCACAGACAGAAACTGACTCTACTCACAGCTGAATATAGATGTTAAAAGGAATCACGAGTAAGTCCTAAGTGTAAAAAGCAAAAATGCATCTATATTAAATTAAAAGAGCTTTGAATTCAAATGCTCCAGAGAGAACAGGAAAGTTAGGAGCCTCTCTCATTCCTGGGCAACCTGATCTAGTGGGTGGCATCTCTGCCCATGGTGGGGTGTTGGAACTTGGTGATCTTTAAGATCCCTTCCAACCCAAACAGTTCTGTGATTCAGCACCTGACAGTGTCTGCAGTGAGCAGGCAGCAGCAGCTGGGGGTCAGACTGCCCAAACTACTGCCAATTCTGAGTCCAAGAACCACAAAATCACTTTGGAAACAGACTTCATTTAACCTGATAATGAAACAAGTACAGGAGGCACACTGTGACATCACAGTTAGGGAAATGTTAGAAATGTCAATCTAACCAGAATTTCAGAACTGTACTTAGGAAAAAATATCCACAACAATTCATGCAGTTGAGTTTGCAAAGTTGGAAGAATACAATGAAAAATTAAATAAATGGGGAAACAAAAGATAAAATATATTTATTGGCATGTCATTGACCAAGCATTTTTCTTGAATGAAATCAATGGGATTTGTTGTGTAATACATGACTGGAAAATTAAACTAAAGCCTATTTCCTTCCTGGCAATCTCTCTCTTGTTCTCTCTCATTATTATTATTAGAACATGTGTAAAAAGATTTGTGCTGCCTACACACAGGCTCTTGAGGTGAGAACAGACTCCTGTTTTCCACCTGCGGATTTTTCCTCACTGAGATCAAGTAGGACCATGAGAGAGCCAGAGATGACCCAAGACAAGGAGCAGAGAGAGCTCAGAGGTTTCCTACTCTCCCTGTTTCTGGCAAAGAGAAGCTCCTTCAGGAGAGATGTGATCACTGTTTTTTGTGGTCACCGTGGAGCATGCGAGTCTCACCTGCTGGAGGCAGCAGAGGTTGAGAGGTGCTGGCAGCGTTCTCTGGTGACTCAGGAACGCATGAGAAGTGTGGCTGTGCTCCCAAACACCTCTCAGGAATGGGAGCAAAGTCTGATTTTCAGCAGCTTTACAACTCACAGGCAGACGAGATGTCTAGCAAAATATTTGGTGGGTGAGATCCTGCTGAAGAAAAATTGATAATTATGTTCTTGCATCACTAGGCCTGAACCATTTTTGTTTTCCGGTATGACCCTGTATCAGCTGAAGTCACCCTGATCTTTACAGCGCTTTGTTGTCATGGCAAACTCATGTTGTGGGCTCCATTTCTGGTAGTGCACTCAGAAAAAGTTTCTGGGAAGATAATGATGTGTACAACTAATTTATGAGCTGCTTGTTACAAGTTTGCTTTATCCTCTTAGCTGGCATCTTTACCATGTTGTTCACAGGAGCTCTTCTGTGGTGTCCATGATTCATGCAGCCTGTAGCAACACTACCACTGCTTTCTACTGTAGCACTGATATTAAACTCCATTTCTCTTAGACTTTCCCCTTCAAACATTGAAGAGTTCCCAAACTGGCTTCTTTCTCCAGCTGATTATTGCTTTTCCTGTGTTCTTTGTAATGCCACAGGAAAAATGTAATTAGAAATGTGGCATTCCATGGGGCTTAGGCAGGCTGCAACACTGCAGAGGGATTTTAGCAGTATTCAAGACCTGTGCTTTTCCACTGAGCAGCCTCTGACAGATTGAAAACACTTTGAGTAATACCAGATCTATGTACAAGATCAATACAAATAAAAGATTTTTCTCCTTTCCACACATGCTGATTTATTACAGTTTAAAGAAGAACACTGTAAACATTAATTTTAAATAAGAGATAATATATGAAATTACATCACCTTTGCAAAATGGGAACCTTCAGAGCTGTCAGGTTTTTTATCTGTGGGTCTTTAGGAACCTGACACAACAAACTCAGCATCAGGTCAGTTGAAACCTTGTCCTGTCAGGTGAGGGCAGTTCTGTGATGATGTCCCAACATCTGATGCCTCTCGTGGTGTTTGTGGGTACCAATTGGACTGACAGGTTCCCTTATCACCCAGTCCCTTCCATGGAATTACCCTGCAAAGCACAAGCATTGCTGAATTCAGGATTTGCTGCATTTCACTGGAATTGCTCCAGAAGAGCAACTGATGAGTCCTAGAACAGTTTGGGTGTGAAAGGATCTTAAAGACCATCTAGTTCCAACACCCCTGTCATGGGCAGGGAGCTCT